TGCACTCCCACTGCTGAGCCATAAGGAGCAAGAAGAAGGAATAAGAACATGAGGGCCTTGGCTGCAGCCAGCAGGGGCTGGAACCTCAGAAGTCCCTCAGTGACTAAGCCAAGCCTGTTTCCATGTCTGGGCTCCTGGCTCTTTTCCATTCTGATGAAATCATGAATAATCATTTATCACACCAGGTCCAGGCATATGAGAGACATGGCTCCTGCCCTTGAGAAGCTGACATCAGCTGCAGTGAGAATCTGTGGCTGGGGTATGAGAAGGGAAGAGCTATGGGGAGGGGTGTGCTCGGTGGTGTGAGGTAGAGGGTGGACTCACCTGAGGACCAGGTGGCCTGCACACACCCAAATACTCCAAATGATAGCTCCCTTTCCTCTTTTACCACCACTCCAATTTCTTATTTTTGGGAAATTTAGACTATCCTTTGTAAATGTAAATATTATATGACACAGGGTGCTTCTCTTACCCCACCATTTTGAACAGAAGTCCTGGACTTTTGTTCATTGGCTCCAGTGTCCAGAGAACCCTGTCTCTGATCCCCCTGGCCTAGCAGTTACATCCATTTGCAAACACATTATCCCAACACTCTCACCAGTGTGACCACAGAAGGAAGAGCAATGGAAAGGGAGGCACTATGACTTCTCAACAGCCCAACCCCAGTTCTGTGCAAGGAGCAGCACCTAATGAACACATAGAGGAACATGCTGAAGGATCAGTGATGATGATTTCTGCGTGGTAGAGGCCTTGGTAATTTTCATTTTCTTATCTACATGTTCCACATTTAACTATTTTTCTGTGATGAATATGTACTACTTTTTATACCCAAAAGACATTTTCCCAAAGTGGAAGCACACCTATCAATGGCAGATGTGTAGTAAAGTACTTCTTTTTAGCCTGCCCTTCTGAAATTTCCAGAAAGCTGGAAATCTTCATTTCAATATGAGGAGTTTTCCCATATTTTTTCCCAAAGGAGACAATGCCCTGGGCTATGTGGTCACACACGAGGGGGCCCCCAGAGTCTCCCTGTGGGCAGAGAGAGAGAAGACATTGAGCTGGGAGTTCCCCTACCCTGACCTCCTTGTGCCCTGGAGTGTGTGGTCCCTGTTAGGAGCTGCATGGGAGATCAGGGTCAGGGCAGGCCTTGTCTCCTCCCTAGGCCTGGGGTTTTCCATGTGACTCTGATGATCTTTTTTCCCCTCTAGGAAGCCTTTGCCCACCAGTGGCTGTGGGACAGCCTCTCTGTTCCCTGGAGAGACAGACCAGAGATTGGACATAGGGATATGGCTAGTTCCCACTGTGCCAAGTCGCCTGCAAGCTTGGGTGTGCTCAGGGCTGGACATGGATGATGCTGGAGATCTCATCTTAAAAGTAGACTGATTCCTTTCTGGGTCCCCCACTCAGATCTCTGTGGCTCTGTTGTAATGGCTTCTGTAGCAAGAGATGCACTGCTCATCCTGTTGGATTTTCAGCTCTGCCTCATGCAGAGTGGCTGTGCTGGTGTTCAGGTCGAGTCGCCCCCAGCCGGCCACTCTCCACACCATCCTGGCTTCACCTGCTCTCCCCTCCTGGGCAGCCTGAGGAGGCTCACGGCAGCAGTCAGGGTGGCCTTCCTCTGCAGCTGAAGGCAGAGGACAGGAAGTCTCATTGAGCAAGTGCCCAGGGACTCCAGGACAGTCATAGCCCTGGGACAAGGAAAGGGGTTACACTGGGAGGAACGACAGGAAGGAGGTCACAGGAGATGAGAAACCCCAGGCTTAAGGTGTGCAAGAGCCAGGGTAGTGATGAGCCCTACCTGCAGCAACATGATGTCATTGACTTTGGGATGATAGTTTGGGTGGCGGATGGCTGTTTTCACTGGTATGACCTGCTGGGTCCTTTCACGCTTCCTGATGTTGTGGGCGCCCAGGATGACTGTGATGGATCTGCACAGAGACAGCCAGGGACGTGGAGGGGCAG